GCTCATCCCACGCCGGAAGCCCATAGATCTCCGGCAACCCATCCCAAAGCTTCTTCCTGGCCTGCCGATGGTACATCTCCGCCATCTTCAAGCAATACGCGCAGATGAGGTTTTCAAACGGGCTCCAGTCGCGATAACTCCCCAGCGGGTCGGAGATATTCCAGTTATGCACGTTTTCGAGATTCTGCACGCGATATTCGTCGCAGTCCTTGAGACTCGTGCACCCCTCGACGAACGGGATACGTAGGAATGGGAGAACGGGTGGGCATGCGAGGCGTTGTTTGGTGTAGCTGACGATGGTCGTTTCGCGGTCGACGGCGCTGAGGAGTGGCCACTGTGGGGAGTTGAGGATTTCCCGCATGTCTGAGTAGCAGAGAAAGTAGAATGCTGTTGGGAGCACCCAGGTGGCGCCGACTTCGGACGCGACGCGGATAGTCAGTAGGGAGTCGTCGAGGCCATCTGAGGAGAAGGTCTCGGCTCCGGAGACTTCGTAGACAGCGAGAGATGTGGGGTATCCCGTGTCGAGATGCTGGAGCGCGCGTCGTCTGAGATATTGGACGTCGTACTTGTGCGAAAGGCGAAGGATACCGGCGATGGTGGGCAGAGTGGTTTTGGAGGGTGGTGGTTCAAAGAAACTGGATTTTCGTACGTCAGGGAGAGTAAATGAAGGCCAAAACTTGTAGCACACGCACCTTGAATCGAATATCGCTCTCAAAAATACCTCGACATCCGAGGCACTGTCATGCAGTCTCACGACCGGACACCCATCCACCATTTCTTCCCCGTCCTCCACAGATGGAGAGTCAAACGCCAGCATGTCTCTAAAGACAGTCGACCGAGCGGCCAGCACACCCTTCGAGACTCGGAAGACGGTGTTGTCTGCGCGCAGGATGAGGTTGTCGTCGGCGAACCAAAGGTCGGGGACGCGAGTTGGTGGGTCTGGGAATGCAGATGAGGAAGCGGACGACCCAGCAGGGTAGCTGGAGGGGGAAGTCGCTAGCTGCATTAGGATGTAGGCGGAGGCAACGTGTGCCGGCGGCTCGATGCCGAGTTTGACGTCTGGCGTGAGAGTTCCCACCCCTCGAGGCTGTGCCCTTTTCATTTTCAGTCACATCCACGACGATGGATTCCATCCCGCCAGAGCTGGTCGGGCTCATCGTAGAGGAGATACCAGACGACGGTTCGCTGCATGCTTGCTGTCTCGCCGCATCTCGATTCCGCGAGCCTTGTCAAAGACGCATTCTGGCACGCCTCCAACTGCAAACGACGAGCGACTCGGACGCGAACCAGGACTGGGACAACATGAGATGGATTCTGTCCAAGGATGCAGCTGCTCATCTGGACGAGTTTCCTCACCTCGCTGCCTATGTTTCGGACTGCTGGATCGCCCTAGATCGAGGTGACGCGTTCAGTACTAGCCTGCACCCACTGGCAGCCAACGAAGACACTACACACGCGGTCTCGGTTTTGCGCCGGCTGAAGAATGTCCGTCAGGCTAGCATCTTGGGCATAGGCCTAACGACGTGGCCTGATATTCCGAATGAGCTTACCGCTGCCGTCCTGGGCGTCATAGACCTCGTCCTCCATCGGAAACTCGGCGGGCGTCTTACAATCCATGTCGATAATTTCCCGCTGGCTCCCCTACGGCGTATTCTGGCCTGTGCATCGGCTGTGTGGCTTGACGACGATATTCCGGTTGACGAAGACGAGCTCGCTATTGACGCCGAGCTCGTAGCTCCAGCGGCAGACGAAGCATCACTGAAGGTGCTGTACTTGGGAGCGAGCCCGAGCGTCAAGAACCTGCTGCTCCATCCCGCGTTCACGCCATTCATTCGGTCGCTCAAAAAGCTGGATCTCACCCTGGACCTTCGAGACCACATTGTTTCCGCATTTGCGATATGCTTCCCGTGCGCGCAGACGTTGGAGCGCCTTCATATACAGTTCTTCGGTGTGTAGTAGTCAAGTCATGCACCGTAAAATCTACTCACAGCGTCGCAGGTTTTATTGGGCTCCCAGATATCGACAGCGATCTTCCCTCACAGCTCCCTAATCTACGGGAACTGCAGCTGGAATTCCGACCACTGCCAGGGGACATTTCTACCGTCTGGCACCTTCCGGCCTTCCTAGCCGATCTTCTGACTCGCCCCGTCACCCCTCTTCTCTCTCAGCTTCATATTCGTCTGTCCCTCAAGTTGGTCCCCTCTACCAATATGGCGTATACACTCCCGAGCTCCAGCCAGTCGCTGGATGATGTGCTTGGGCGCCGATTAATTGCAGGGACCAAAGTGTACATCACTCCAAACTTCTGGCTCTCCTACGAAGATCATCGTCGCAGTTCAGCGCTGATCGCTACCCACTTTGAAGCGTTCTCGGTAGCATTCCGCGACGGACTCCCCAAATCGGTCGCCAAGGGCTTGTGCATCCTGCAATGGGATGGTTCGAAGGAGCATTTCTAGACAGTGGTTCCCGGCATTGTTCAATTTACAGCAATAGTAAAAAATCAGCCACTTCTTGTACCTCGGTATACATGATTATCCTCCAACGGGTCCTGGAGCAGTCAGAACCCAGCCCCCCAAAAAAGTTGCTAAATTCTACCGCGAGCCTCAGGATATTCGAATTCATGCCGATCGGTGATAAATATTCTGAGCGAAAAAACAGTTCAGTCAAGTTGCGGCCTGTTTTGAATAGGCAGACTAGTGGCTGGCGGCCCGGGCGGCGCTGCGGACCGCCGTGACCATCGGCACCCACAGCATCGCTTTTCCAATCAGTCACGTTTGACACCCGGCTTTCCACCCCTCCACGACGATGGATTGCATCCCTCCAGAACTGGTTGGGCTCATCGTAGAGGAGATACCAGACAAGCTCTCGCTGCGTGCTTGCTGTCTGAGCCTGTCTCGCGGCATCCCGGTTGCGCGAGCCCTGTCAAAGACGCATCCTGGCACACCTCGATCTGCAAACGACGAACGACGTGGACCACGAGTGGCACAAAATGGGCTGGATCTTGTCCAGGGATGCAGCTGCTCATTTTGATGAGTTTCCTCATCTTGCTGCCTATGTGTCCGACTTCAGGATCGCTCTAGATCAAGTTGGCGCGGTCAATAGCATGCTAGCAGGGGCAGCTCACGAAGACAGCACACATGCGGTCTCGGTTCTCCGCCAGCTGAAGAAAATCTGCCGGGTCAGCATCATAGGCCCCATGAATTGGAATTATCTTCCCCACGAGCTCAGCGCCGGCGTGCTGGGCGTCATAGACATCGTCCTCCATCGGAAACCCGGCGGTCGTCTTTTAACCGAGGGTGTCTATGATTTCCCGCGAGTCTCCCTACATTGGATTCTAGGCTCTACATCAGCTATGTGGCTTGGCGATATTACGGTTGGCGAAGACGGTCTCGCCACTGACGCCGATCTTGTAACTCCAGCGGCAGACGAAGCATCGCTGAAGGTGCTGCGCTTGGGAGTGATCCCGACCCTGAAGAGTCTGCTGCTCCATCCCGCGTTCACGCCACTCATTCGGTCACTCAAAAATCTGGATTTCAGCGGGAACCCAGGAGAACACATTCTTTTCGGATTTGCGATATGCTTCCCGTGCGCGCAGACGTTGGAGCGCCTCGATTTTGGGCTTTCCGGTGTGTAATGTTTAGGATATTCACCGGAGGCCTACTGACATGTTCTAAAGGCACCATTGGGCTCCCAAGTCTCGACAACGCTCTTCCCTCGCAGTTCCCTAATCTACGGGAACTGGCGCTGAACTTCTTCCCCATCGAACCAGAGGAGATTTCCACTGACTGGGTCCTTCCGGCCCTACTCGCTGATCTTCTGCCTCGCTTCGTCGCCCCTCTTCTCGTTCAGGTACATCTTCATCTGCTCATCCATCTGGTCCCGAACCGTATGGCGTATGCACTCCCAAGCTCCAGCCAGTCGCTGGATAGCATTCTTGAGCGCCGTCTCATTGCAGGGACTAAAGTGTCAATCACTCCAAACTTCTGCCTCTTCCACAAAGATCGCCGCGATTCAGCGAATCCCGAGCAGCTGATCGCTACCAACTTTGAAGCGTTCGCGGTCGCATTCCGCGATGGACTTCCCAAATCGGTCGCCAAGGGCTTGCGCATCCTGCAGTGGGATGGCATGGACGAACCCTTCTTCTAGACAGTCGTTCCCGGTATCGTTTCAATTTCACCGCAATAGAAAAAATGTAACGGCTGCGATAGCCATCACAATCTTATCTGTTCCTGCCGCCCTCGGCGACCACCACATTCTTTTTTCTTGACAATGACATCTCACCATCCCACCAACGCTCCTTTCGTTTGGCCACCAGATGGCCCGTACTTTCGTATAAAAGCCAGCTTGTTCGTCTGTAGACATCCAGTTAATCCTACCGTCTACGCCAGTCACCCCGTTCGATTCACTCACCCGTCCGTGTGCCGGGACTAGCCTCTGTGCTCCCCGTCACAAAAAATCGGCCGGGGGTTAAAACTTGGTAAACAGTTCTCTCCAATTCATTCTATCAAACACTTCCTGGACCTAAGGTCGGTGCCGATAGCACTCAGCACGCTTCATATGGTACTTACTAGTAGCGGTTCACGCGTGTTTGTCTCTCACCATTCCAGCGGATGATATATGATGAGTATAAATGTCGAGTCCTTTCCATCTATCATATCGACGCCTTCGAGCTCGTATCATCGCATCTCGTACGCTATGCTTGTACAGTCTACTGGTGTCTGCTGCAGTCTATCTCCCTCGAGCAGTGTGGTTTGGATTGTGATTTCTTACTGATTGTTGGATTTCCAGCATTTGAATCGCAGTTTCAATTTACTCGAGCCCATCGTACATTCCTTCAAGTTCGAAATCTACCCGTTTCCAGGACAGACGTGGAGAGGACGAACGCTGAGAGAGCAGAGGGCTTTGTGATGGATTCAACGCGATATTGCCCATCCTCTCGGCTCTAGCGGTGTTCGTCGATGAGCATAGAAGGAAAACAGCCAAACGGGAAGCAAAAAGGACTTCCCGTCGGGGAATCGAACCCCGCGCTCGAGCGATTCAAGTGTCAATGGTTGCAAATGAGAAGCTCATATGTTACCGATACACCAACGAGAAGATACTCTGTTTGCCAGCGAAGGAAACGAGTGCGCTCGGGACGTGGAGGAACACCAGAAGAAACCGCGTCACCTCGTCACATCATCATATCAACTCCTTGCCGCCGACTCCCACCCCACCCCAACACTCAGATGCACGTCTCCGATTGGACCAGACCCTCAGGCGCCTTGTCAAGGTCTCTCGGCGGAGCTTTTCGACGGTGACAATCAACTACTAATAGTACTGCCGCCGGGACTGAGTTCGACAGACTCCGCCTTGAAATCGGAACCCTCAGGCTGAAACCGTGACGCCCGTGGTTACCATTTCATACCACTTGACGTCCTCCCGTCCCGACATACATACAATTCTGCACGATGCGACGGTCGGTCCCGCTCTGTATCACGCGGGGGTGATTGCAGGCCCATTTACGGATAATCCTCCGACTCATCGCGAATTCGGAACGCGGCAAAGTCAAAGAAGCAAGATGCAGAACCACCACGAAGCTGATGGCTTGAATACCCTTGGCCGGGCGAATCCATCAAGATCATGATACGATATACTACTGGGGGTGAGCAGGCGGCTGGCTCGAAGGAACATCGGTGCGTTGGAGCCGCAGTATAGATAGCATCGCGACGCTATGCGATCCGACGCTCTCCCCCCGTACCACGATGCCAGGCCCAGAATCACCCAAACGTCCTCCTCGCCGACCACGTTCGCCCGTGTCGATGTACGTCGCATTCGACGGTTACGCCCCGCGAGCCCCGCCGCCGAAGCCATTGCTCAGGCTGGAGAAGAAGAAGTCTCTCACGAAGGGGAAGGAGAAAGAGTTGGAGAAACTGGTTGTGCCATCTCCCCCGTCGAAGCCCATTACCACGCCAGCCTCCCCCGTGTCCTCCTTCTTCCGCGGAAAACTGCAGCGAAAGTCGTCGTCGGCGTCCTCAGTCTCGAGCTCCAAGTATCGCCTTCATATTCCTTTGGCTGAATCACTCCTTCCACCGACGCCCGCTCCTTCCACACACACACCGACCGGAAAATGGGCAAGACGAACTAATCGCGCGCCACGGGCGCCGGCCATCGACTGGGACGAGCTGGATACGAGGGAATGCGAGGTCTTGGACATCAGTCCGCAGCCTCAGCGTCGCCGGGGGACTGCTGGTCTGGAGACAATCGAGGACTATTCAGACGGCGCGGAGGAGCTCGATGATATGACCTTCGCCAAGCCAGACTCATCCCCTCAACCCCCTCCGCTCGACGATATGACCTTTGCGGAGCCAGACTCACCTGCATCCCCACAACCCCCTCCGAGTCCGCTTCCTTCAGACCTCGACGACATGACCTTTGCGGTACCGTCCGACCGCGAGTCTGGTTTCTGGGCCGAGCATACTACCCCACGACTCGTACGACAACCCACCGCGTCCTCGCTCAGCACGATAGCGTTCATGGAGACCGCCTCGTATGCATCCTCCACCGTCAGCCTCGACTCGGCGCGCTACGCCAGCCCAACGCCAATGCGATTCTCCAACCCGAGTCGTCCTCCCTCCGTCGTTATCCCCGCCTCGTCCCCGTCGCCCCGCCCCCATCGAATGCCCTCGGAACTGTTCGTCATGGACGGCCCAGGATCACCTGGCAGTTCCGCCTCCGAGTATTCCATCTCGGACGGCGATGGCGATGGCGATGGAGATGGAGATGCGGAGTCAGAATGGCCGTTAACCCCAGAATCCGAATCATCAGCATCGCAGTTCTCGAGTCACCCGTCGCTCCTGCCAGTCCCGGCCGGTCAACAACAACGAGGTGTCGCTCAGCCTCCTGCCAGTGTCCATGTCGAGATGAACGCCATCCTGAGCTCGCCGCGGCATGTCGTGCGGGTCCAGGTACTCGGAGAGTGGAACTATGACGGGGGCGTTGCGGAGAAGAGGCGGTCGCTGGTGGAATAGGTTTATATGACGAACACATAGTTCCCGATGTTTCATTTGGTTATACATGCATGGTTATTTGGCAAGACGATCCTTCTCACGCAGATTGACTGTCAGTAAAAAGCTGATTTAGTGTGCGAAGGCATGCGTGGTAACACACCGTGGATACTGTCTCGGCGCCCCGATAGTCTTCTCAGTCAAGAACGGGACTAAGACGCATCTCCAAGCTCGCTCTGTCAGCTAGCTTTTAATTGCCGAGTTGGATAGCAGCACATCTTGCACCAAGGCCACGGAGATACTTGTTGTATCGAGCAGGCTTGCCCGGAGAGACGACTGTCGGAGAGTACGTTGGACCGTGACGTTGATTATTTCTTTTCTGTCGTTCTTTTCTTGCTTTGGGCTGTTGATCATGAAGCGAGGCATTGGTCTGGAGCCCACGTAGAGATCTATCGACGAGGATTTGTGGGTGGAGGCGGGGGTTCAATATTGCCAGCGGGGTTCAAGCTTTCAAAGTTTTTTTGCATGGAGCGGAATGAGAACTTGAGAAGAAAGAGGGCGTATAATGGGGAACCTGAAGCAATTCGTACTGTACCTGGTCTTGACACGCTGCTGATTCCGTTTCCATCCCCCGCGTTTCCAGTTTTCTGGTCCAGTCGTTGAACTTGAAAGCGAGACCTTGATTGTCGTTTCGAGACTCGAGCGGATCTTTACGCTTGAAGACGAGCTGTACTTGATATTTTAAAGACCATTTCGTGAAGAGTTAGCCCAGCGCTCGGGGTTGAGATGTGTTTGGATCATTGTCGTCGTCGTTGAGAGCAAGAGGAGCCGTGTGGGAAACCGTCATCGTGACATCACATGTCACCGCCCTTGCCCCAAACCGCCACGTCCACTGTACTCGCTGATGCAGCTTGCATGCATGAAGTCCGTACAGCATCAATTATTGGAAACGCATCGCCTAGGCTGTTGAATTTGACCTCAAACTGGTAAGATTCGAGTCTCTTCTCGACTATTTATCTTGTTCATCTCTGCCCAGTCTATCGAATACTTCCCAAGGCCCATCTGTCTATGTTAGCTATCTCGGCCGCTCTCGGGACGAGTGAACGAACGAACGAACAATCAATCACTGCACCGTCTTGATTCTCCCACTGCTGGCAAGAAATTCTCCGTCTCCAGCATCACTATCATGACACTGCTGCGGTAATTGTCAATGTGGCGTCCGCATCTCACTGTCTCAGTCGCTGTTTAGATTTGGTTAGTAAGTACTTCCGCCTTTGCTCCTTGCTTCCATCGTCCTTCCTCCATCCTCCTTGCTTCCTCCTTCCTCGATCCTCCATCCTTTCCTCGCCAGCCCGCCGGCGCCTCAGCCATGCTATCCGAATCCGAGTCGAGATTCATCGAATGCTTCAGCCCACCTCCCGATGAGGTCTCATTCCGGACTCTCCCACATCCGATCCCACATCCCGTCGCGAGTCCCAGGACCAGCAAGCGGCTGGTCAAGCGGAGTAAAAGCCGTGTACGAGTACGAGACGAGACGGGGACTACCACGACGACCACGACGACGACCTCCAATTCGTCCACTGGCAGTCTGAATCTACGAAGGACGAAATCGAATACCAGCTTATCGACGGGAGTCGTCCCTATACCGATCGCGATACCACCACTGCCCACCCAGTCGATATCGATATCGTCCTCCGACTCGGAATCGGAGCTGGCTCGCATACTATCGGCCCTCGACGCGCTTGACACCACGCATATCATCGACGGGGACGCCATCCTGCGACGGTTCGAGGCGGATCTCGCTGCGTATGATCATGACATTGGGAGGGAGTCGACTCTGTTGCTAGTGAAGAAGATATAGAAGCAGAACTGGGGGGTATGGATAATTATATTAAGGGTAACAAAGACGGACCAGCCATACATAATCAAACGAGAGGGAGCATCACTTGAGCGTCCTCAACTTGCTAATAACCTCATGCATATCGCCCTGATTCCACTCACCCCTCCACCCGTGCTCCGCGCGTATCACCGACGGCTCGCGGGTATGCCGACTGGGACTGGTGGAAACGACCTCGACCTGCGCTGTGACGGCGACAAAGTTGTCCATGAACGGCGTGTCGGGGCGGGCGTGCTGTGCATGCTGCCTGTCGGACTCGGACTCGGAGCGCAGATGCGCGTAGGCATAGGCGTGGTGGATGTGTGAGTCGACGCGGGGAGGGGCGTGTGCTCGAGGGGGTCGAGGCGGGGGCGGGAGGGACCGGGACGCAATAGGTGTCGCCGGCGCTTCGTCTTCAGGCTCGAGCTCACTTGAGTTGGGGAGGACCGAGAACGACGGTGGACGAAATTCGATAGGGCTGAGCAGCATCGAATCGCGCTCAACCTCCTTCCTATGTTCGCTATCCGCGTACCAGCCCCCTTCCTCGGTGTAATAAGACGCCTCTGCCTCGTCCGAAGCTGCCGTCGAATCCGTCCGAGTCGTGAAGACGGCGCCAGAGGAGATGGACGACGTTTCGCTCGATAGTGGGGACGCAGGGCGAGAACCAGAGCCGGAACCAGAGCCGGGGAGGTAGTATGTGGCGTCGGGGATGCGGTATTTCGAGTATTCGTACTGGGATGATGATGAAAGGTTTTCGTGTGAGCCACCGCCGCCCAGGAGACGCGCAGCTTTATCGGAGCGTTGTTGGCGCGGATTGCGAGGAACCTCCTCAATGAGGTTATCGTCGACGTCGGTGGTAGGATGGATGTGTGTTTGCTGATACTGGTATACAGACGCCGGGATGGACGGGGGAGGCGGTGGTGGGCGGGGAAGATGGTATCCGAGTCCACTGAGATTCGATTTCGACGAGCCGGTGGTAGCACTTCGCGCGAGGCCCGGGCGAGGCGGGCTCAATTCGCGAGAGGGCATGGGTGCGGTGGGTGTGGATGCAGGCGGCTTGCGACTGCGCAGGCTGAGGAACGAAGTGACCGACGGACGCCGGGGAACCGAATGCCCATGCCCATGCCCATCGCTCGAGCCGCCGCCGCCCATAAATCCCATAATCGAGGAGGCGCCGGAGCCCACAGTCGAGGAACGCGCTCTCGTCAGCGGCCCCTCCTTCTCCTTGCCCTTGT